GGTAAGTCCCTACCAACTTGGATAACTTGTATGAATCACTAGACTATGAGGCTTTCGTAATTTGTAGTCTGCCAAAAACCGTCAGTGTGGGCTACAGTGCCCATGGTTCTCAGCCAAGCTTTCATCTAATGATTACTTAGGGGAAAAAAACTAATTTGGAACTATGGGCGAGTTGTCTCATCTGGAACCCTATTCACCTGACACGTTTTGCACTATTGACCTGACACGTTTTGACGGGGAGGTGATAGGAAAATCGCGCCAAACGACATACACCCCTACCCGACGCTCGGAACGCTAGTGGACGCTAGTAGACGCTGGTGGACGCTGCTGCGAAGTATGAACACAACCCAATAGAGATCCTTCAGGTTCTCTCACTTTTATTTACAAACGGCTATGCGTTGGTCCCTCGCCACATAGCATGGCTCATTACGATTTGCTCGACACATATCCCACCTTGACCCTGCCTGACGTACAGTCGTCATCTGGGCAGTTGACTGGGCGGTCAAAAGGTCGCAGTTGCGGACGCGTCAACAGCGGCGATCAGCTGTTCCCAACCCATTTAGCCATTCTCTCCCTAATTTTCACGTATTATTTAGTTTTTTTTTTCAATTTGTTTTCGTCTATATGAAGTATATTGAGACGTGGAGTCCTTCTTGTTTTGTAATGGAGTCTTCTGCAATTTTTTCAGGTATTTGTTTGATTGGTTTGTTGATTATTTAATTGTTCGCAACAATTAGAGAAATCCCAATCATAGTTCACCTTGTGAGACAAGGAACAACTAACCTTAAGAAAAGCAGCCAAAAACAGTGAAAATTAGGGAGAAAATGGCTAAATAGGCTGGAAACAGCTGATCGTGACGCGCCGCAGCCGCGTCTGCGACCCTTTGACGCCTAATCAACTGCCCGGATGACGACTGTGAATAGCAGAGCCACAAAAGGCTCGCTGGTGATGTGGTCCTAGAGTCACCTGTACTGCTCAAACCCATTTTTCTTTTGCTTTTTGCTCATTTCTTCCCACTCGAGTTTCCCAATGCTGGAAACTAACGCGATTTGACAGAGTTCTTCAGCAAGTGGAGTGCATAGCCTTGGCATTTCCTTGTTGTTTATGAGAGCGAGTATGGAAGCAGATATTCAAGGATCAAAATATGATATGCATTGTGTAAATGATTATGTGACCGACGAAGCTTAACCTGCCAAGATCGCTGTCGGCTTTCCTCATAATTCCACCAACGCCTTTTTTGCTTCTTCATCCACAAAACCGTATGGATATGAAATCGCATCATTGTAGGCGCTTTCGATTTCAAAACAATCTCCCGCGTGAAAAAGGGACATTTCTGGCACGAAATGCACAGCAATTTGGGTTCCAAACCACAGGCCCATGTTTGAAATTCGAATTTAAAAAAAAACGCATTTTTGTCCCGATCAATCTCAGTACCCTTATATGTCCCATTTTGACAAAGCTGTACATTTTGATAAAAAAACTATTTACCACTACACCAGCTACCTACATTTTTTAGCACACTCCACTATTTGCTAATCATAGAAAAAGCTTTGTGGTACAATCTTCGTACTTCACCCGTATTCCACCAAATGGTGGTCGCTTTGCAGCGGTTTTGTACAAGTGGTGAGAAAAGGGGGCGGCCGTTGCCCGTTTCTCTGAGGATTATAGTGCCCTTGACACGGCCCTAATAAACCCTCAGAGAACAAAGGTGTAGGTCACTTGAATAGTAAGCAAAATTTTCGGTGACAGATATTTAACCACGCTAACAGAAGAATCTTTTGCATCAAAAGCTAGCCCTCGCATCTCACGCTCGAGTCAATTCATTTGACCGATATGCTTCTCCACTGGTAGCGCCTCCAATTTTTATCATACTAGTTAGATGGACAGATAGATAGATACAATACATACATAGATAGATAGAATAGAATCCTACTATATATAAACGGCGACGTCTGTCTGTCTGTCTGTCTGTCTGTCTGTCTGTCTGTCTGTCTGTCTGTCTGTCTGTCTGTCTGTCTGTCCGGAAATTCGGAACTACCTGAAGAGCCAGTCTCTCCAGGTACAGCAGGGTCAAGGTTGGGATGGGTAGGGCATGGGCCAAGATGTACGAAACACACGTGAACTAGGCTAAGCCCCGCCCACTGTGGGCGGCGCGTGCGCATAGTTGTGAGCTTCATATTTCAAAAATTCGTAGTTCGGTTCCAAAAAAGCCCCGAGAGCGGAGAAAAGTGGCAAACGATAGGCAATTAGTTCGTGGACGAAATGACTGAAACAAACCCATTTTGGCAGGGCGTTCTGTAGGTAAGCGGTGCCTACTACGAAACTTTCAAAAATTCGTAGTTGGGTTCCAAAAAAGCTCGGAGAGTGGGAGAAGTGGCAAACGATAGGCAATCAGTTGGCGGACGGAATTAATGAAGCACACCCGTGATGGGCGGAGCGTTCGCCGAAGTGGACGATGCCGAGGACGAAAACCCTCGAAACGCATCCGAAAAAACCCCACGAAATGGGGAGTGACCTGAAACTAAACAGTGGTATGGCAGATGACCATAGTGAGGGGATAATCGTAGGGAGTATCCCAAATGGTTGGTACCGTCGGCAATAGTTTGCAGTGCCGCATAGAAAATTTTGATGGCTGTCTACTAGGGGGGGATATACATGGAAAACTTCTCACCGGGACCCACTTCACACCCGGAAGGACTGGCCCTCCCTCACATGGAAAACTTCTCACAGGGACCCACTTCACACGCGGAAGGACTGGCCCTCCCTCACATGGAAAACTTCTCACAGGGACCCACTTCACACGCGGAAGGACTGGCCCTCCCTCACATGGAAAACTTCTCACAGGGACCCACTTCACACGCGGAAGGAACTGGCCCTCCCTCACATGGAAAACTTCTCACAGGGACCCACTTCACACGCGGAAGGACTGGCCCTCCCTCACATGGAAAACTTCTCACAGGGACCCACTTCACACGCGGAAGGAGGATCGGCCGGCGAAAGCGGACCCCCCCGCCGCCCCCCCCCCCCCGCCCCCCCGATGCGACATGGTAAGATAGATAGATAGATAGATAGATAGATAGATAGATAGATAGATAGATAGATAGATAGATAGATAGATAGATAGATAGATAGATAGATAGATAGATAGATAGATAGATAGATAGATAGATAGATAGATAGATAGATAGATAGATAGATAGATAGATAGATAGATAGATAGATAGATAGATAGATAGATAGATAGATAGATAGATAGATAGATAGATAGATAGATAGATAGATAGATAGATAGATAGAGAGAGAGAGAGAGAGAGAAGCTTTAGGTGAAGCAGACAGAGTTAAAACTACAGCCCTATCCTTTAAAATTCCCCAACGTGTGGCGTCTCCGTTGCATACGATTTGACAGATTTTTTTTAGTGACTGTTGGTTATGGTACGCGAGGGCTCTTGGACTCCAGCCAGGGCAGCCTCGCCCATTGTTCAGGGTCAGCATGGCAGCATCTTAGTGAACCACCCTCAAAGATTTCACGCCAAAAAGTAGTTTTTAACCTTTCAGTGGTTGCTAATGTAGAAAGGAAGGATTATCTACGGTGTTGTCGTTGCAATCCGGCGAGGCGGTGTCAGGACGCGGGCAATGAGCCTGCCCTGGACCACTATTTGTAAAAAACGCAGCCTCGCGTAGCTCACCCCACGCCTCTTTACAGCGCCCCATCGGATTTCAACAATAACAACCATGAGTGCAAGAGAAAAAGTGCGTTGAGGTCGGTGGCAAACTGATGGGGAAGCTATTGGATATTCAATCGGAATGGTGAAAATTTCATTTTTTTTCACCAAACAGCGAAACATCGCTGGGTCCTGTATCATGCAGCATTTGGAGCTAAGGATTTCCTTACAACAATGACTCCTTTACTTTCTCACGAGAATCCCATAATCGCCTTCTGCGGGAGCTAAGTGTTCTATAAGATCCCTCACGCGATCGGAAAGAATTAGGGTAGTTCAGACCTGCACACAAATTTCGACCGCGCCAGTTGTCCAGATAAACTCACTGCTAGAGGGAAGATCAAGGGTGCTCCATCTGCTTGTATATGGTTTTCATCTACCTGTCAACTAGAAAAAGCTCCACGAAATTATCTACCGCTTACCAGTGAATGATAAGTTGCCTTGTTTCTTATAGATACGACCGTCAGCAAGGTCTCTTGTGTCCAGTCGGTAGGTATCTTGCAGTCTCAGCAAACCGATTGCTGCTCCAGTTAGATCTTCCTGAATAGGACACGATATTGGTGCAGCTCACCCCAAGAACAAGTGCTCCATTGGAGTAGTGAATAAGTCATTCTTTAACTTCTTCAAACTTGATTCATGCCGAAGCTACTGGCTCAGAAAGCTGCCGAACGCATACGGCTCCAGAAAGTGATTATTGTTGAATCTGTGATTTACAAACTCGTTCGCTGCGGCTGGGAGGCGGCTTCGTTGTCGGCGGGAGCGGAGCGGGGGGTAGGGGGGGTGGGGGGAAGGAGGGGGAAGCGACAAGGCTGCATCATATCGTCCGTATCGCATCGTTTTCCACCAGCTTTTCTCGCTTACCCGCTTCAACAATTGGTAGGCGGCGCGCCAAACCCTAATGACACGCCTCATCATCCGCAGATATGGAAAAATATGCACTTACTCTATACGCATTATCAGCAAAAATGAGCCTTCATAGCCGCGTTCATACCTCGTGACTCCTGCCACTCACTCGCGCAATTCCCAGATCGCACAAATGCGACTAACAGCGCTCCACTGCAAACCCCGAAGCAGCAAGACGGGACTCCTTCCAGAATTTGCAGCGGTTCAACGACTAGCGGTAAGACGCGGTCTGTTGCGGTCACGCGATTGCATCGTTGGAGGGCTGCGTTCATACCTCGCAGCAGCATCCACCAGCGACCTGCGGCAGACTGCTGTAGAGAGTATGGGGCGAAGGAGGACATCAGAATATCTCACCATACTCTACTGTCTGCCACCCTCCTGTCGCCCCTTACTTTCCACTCCCGGACGCTACT